CAGGGTAAACTCATAAATTGTTCGCTCTCTATAACACTGATAGAGAGATATGCACAGCTCTTCCCCCCCCCACAGGTATTAACACATACTCTGGGTTAATTAATAAGTAAAAAGTGATTTTATTAAATACAGAAAGTAGGATATAAGTGGTTCCAAGTAATAGCAGACAGAACAAAGTGAATTACCAAGTAAAATAAAATAAAACACTCAACTCTAAGCCTACTGCTGTAATAAAACTGAATACAGATAAAGTCTCACCCTCAGAGATGTTTCAATAAGTTTCTTTCACAGACTGGATGCCTTCCTAATCTGGGCACAATCCTTTCCCCTGGTACAGCCCTTGTTCCAGCTCAGGTGGTAGCTAGGGGATTCCTCATGATGGCTCCTCTCCTCTCTTTATTTTGTTCCTTTCTCTTATATGTCTTTTGCATAAGGCAGGAATCCCTCTCTGGGTTCCCATCCCCACCTTCTCAATGGAAAATCACCAGGTTAAAGATGGATTCCAGTTCAGGTGACATGATCACATGTCCCTGTAAGACTTCATTACCCACTTGCCAGCACACACATATACAGGAAAACTTACAAGTAAAACAGAGCCATCTGCAGTCAATTGTCCTGGTTGATGGGAACCATCAAGATTCCGAACCACCATTAATGGCCCACACTTTGCATAATTACAATAGGCCCTCAGAGTTATATTTCATATTTCTAGTTTCAGATACAAGAGTGATACATTTATACAAATAGGATGACCACACTCGGTAGATTATAAACTTTATAATGATACCTTACAAGAGACCTTTAGCATGAAGCATATTTCAGTTTAATTATATTCAAACTTATTAGCATATTTTCATAAAATCATATAGAGTGCAACATCACACCCACAAACTTAGATATATTTAACTTATCTAAATATTCTTTAATCTGTTCTTTCCCTATTTTAATCTGAGATCCTTTCCCCTTGTTGTTAATATTAAGCATCTGGTCACAATTAACCATTTTGGTGAAGACCTGAAGCAAAATAGGTATCCCACACTTGAGCCTTCAGAAGCGGTAGCACAGGTTAGATTTTTTTTCATTGGAAACTGGCTTTTCAAGGGAAATGAAAAATGTTGTGGGAAATTTTTCATTCCTTTGAAATTTTTCAGTTTTTTAATTAAACTAAACGACAAATTGTTTAAGTTTTTTAATCAAAACATGCTTTTGTGAGTCTTGGCTACTGAAAAAGTGAAACAAACTTGGAATTGTGGGTGTGTCTGCTCACTTTTCTTTCTCTCCTCTTCCTCCCCTCCCCCCCCATTTTCCAATGGAAGGGAGAGAAAAGGCAGAGCGAAAAGCGTGGGTGGGGGGAATATAACAACCAAAGAACTGAAATGTTTTGTTAAATTTGGTTTAATTTTTTTCAACTCAGGAAAAATTCCACAAAAATTGTCCAACAAAACAGCATGTTTTAAATTTCCTTCAATTTTTTAACGTTTAACATTAAGTTGTCAGAGAAAATATTTTTCTCCTATCTCTAAGAAATAGCACCTGCCTTGGAGCCCTCAGAAAATGCTGATTCGTATAACATTAGTTTAATCACAAAGAAAGTGAAATCTATACCGGAACTGACAACGGTCAGCCCAACAAGGAAACTTTATAACACAATCTGCCAATATTAGCTTTGCCATAAACACTGTCTAAGGGAACAATCACTTCAACATCTTAATTCTTTCACGTTTGCTGGAAAAGGGATGATTCTTCCCCCTATTCCACACAGAGTTGGCCTCCTAGGGGCACAGAGACCAGCCTAGAGCCTCCCACAGACCTCCACAGCCATAGAGCTACAGGTAGAGCATCACCCCCCTTCAGCCCTGTCTATGGGGAATGGGGCGGGGGGGTGGGGGAGACTGGGTGGCTGAGGTTATAGAGATTAGAGGAGCCGCACAGTAACAGCAGGCCAGAACCGGGGGCCAGTACGGCTAGCCTGGAAGAACGGCGGGACAGCCCGGAAGAACGGGCGGATTCTCTCCCCAGCAAAGGAGGCCGACGGGAAAGTGACAATCGGGTCCCCATTGCCAGCATGGAAAAACGTCACCTGCCCTCCTTCACAGTCCAGATAAACCCGGATCCTGCTGGGTGCACAGCTCGAGGACAAGGGGGTGCCCTGATCAGGGGTTGTGGGAGTCCAGTACCAATCCTCACTGCACTGCACAGCCCAGATCCCCTGCTCAGGGTTAGGGCTGATATCTCCCTTCCTGCTCACAGACTCTCTGGCCACCCCCACATCACAGACTCCCCGCCCCTCCACCTCCACCTCCCAGTAATGTCGGCCTGAGGTGAATCCCTCAGAGCCCAGCAGACAGAGCACACTGTCAAATCTCTCAGGGTTGTTGGGCAGATCCTGCTCTTTGCGTTCCCATCTCACACTTTTCCGATCCGCAGACACGATGAGGTTGGGATGGGCCGTGTCTGGATCCAGAGTCACGGTCGCTGCAGAGAGAGAATCAGAGCGTGAGGGGTAGAGCTCAGCATCATAAGAGGCTCCCAGCAGATTACAGGGAATCCAAAGTCCCTCTGTACAATGATGCAACTCTCCACACCCCGTCTCCTTGCAGAGCCCCCCCTCCTAACGATCAGCCAGATGAGCCCTAGAAAACCTGCTTTTACAGACACCCCCTGGCCCCCCCAGGACTGTGTGTAGCTGTGGGTGGTTGAGGACACCGCACACTTACTGAACGCCTGCTCGGCTTGTGCTGGTCTATCGGGGACTTTCCAAACTCCACACTGCTGGCCCCAAGGCTATGCAATGGCTAATACAGTATTGCCGACTTCAAGAGATCAAACCTCATGAGATTGGCCCAACAATCATGACATGTTTAAAAGGATTCTATTGTGGTTTCTAGGTCAGTCTCTGGATGTTTGAACTCCCCTTGCCGCTCACCAGGGTGTGCGCATACAATCATAGAATATCAGGGTTGGAAGGGACCTGAGGAGGTCATCTAGTCCAACCCCCTGCTCAAAGCAGGACCAATCCCCAACTAAATCATCCCAGCCACGGTTTTGTCAAGCCTGACCTTATAGATTCATAGATTCTAGTACTGGAAGGACCTTGAGAGGTCATCGAGTCCAGTCCCCTGCCCTCATGGCAGGACCAAATACTGTCTAGACCATCCTTGATAGACATTTATCTAACCTACTCTTAAATATCTCCAGAGATGGAGATT